AGGGGTGAGGTTTTAAGATCTCGGTGGCTGTTTTAAAGGGCTGTTACGGAAGTTAAGAGCAGGAGTCATGCAGGTTTTAAAGCTCTTATGCTATGTACGGGTTGTGCTGGAACATCAGGAGGTTTTGTTTAGAAGCAGCTGTTGCAATGCAGCTGCATTGGCTGGGTCACTGACTAAAGGTATCCTCCATCACACACAATGGCTCTTAAGCACAGGTCTCCCAGCAACATATGTTGTGAAAAAGATTTTTAAGCAGTTTTGGGGTGTTGCGCCCACCCAAAGGGTGAAGGGAGAAGAAACCTCAACTGATGAGTATTTGTATAGAATTGCATGTTGGATTTCATGTGCTGTAGATCCCAGAGCACTGGCTTGCTCCTTACGGGAGCTGTGCTGATGTACGTATGTCACTTCTTGCCTAGCAGCCTAGTCATAGGATGGTTTGGGTTGGAAGGGACCTTAAAGCTCATCTAGTTCCAACCCCACTGCCACAGGCAGGGACACCTTCCACTAGAGCAGGTTGCGCCAATCCCTGTCCAGCCTGGCCTTGAACACTGCCAGGGATGGGGCAGCCACAGCTTCTCCAGGCAACCTGTGCCAGTGTCTCACCACCCTCACAGGGAAGAACTTCTTCCTCAGATCTCATCTAAATCTCCCTTCTGTCAGTTTAAAGCCATTCCCTTTGTCCTGTCACTACTTGCCTTTGTCAAAAGGTCCCTCCCCAGCTTTCAGTGCATGCTCAGGAAGGGATTTTTTTCCCCTCTTTATCTTGGCTCATGAAGTTCATCCCCTGAGCCCATTTGCCATTTATGCCTGCAAAACTGGCCTGGCTACATGTGTTTGCAAAAAGTCCATCCCAGCTGCATGCTCATAAACATAGAATCATAGAATTTAGATTGGAAAAGACCTTTAAGGTCATTCAGTCTAACTGTAGTCCACCACTAAACTACGTTTCTTAACTGCCATATCTACATAGACATATAGTTTTAAATGGCTACTTTTTGACCACCCTGTGTGATGCATCCTTTGGATAACCTGAGTGGAAAATGCCATGAGAATAGGTCCTTACGTGTCTGAAGCGTCACCAAAATTTAGCCACTCTTTAGTGTAGCTCTGAAATTTGGATCCTATTTCCAGAGAAGTTCTATGTGCACAAAGTCAAATGTTCTATAGTGTCAGGAGGAAACTGTAAGGATGAGGTTGAGATGATCTGAGGAAACCTGTAATATTTCATCTGCTCTCTCTCTGCATTCGTGTCCATCTCTGCCAAGCCTGCAGGCTGTTTGACTAAGCTATCAGCATGCATACGTTTGTATTGTCGCCTTTAAAGCAATCTCATTTGCTTTACTGTTGTTTTTAACACTACCCCAGCGCTGGCCTCTGAAGCTTTTTGAAAATAACATTTACAATAATATTTTTAACAGTTCCGTAGTACACAAAACTCCAGCACCCTGGCAGGACTCCCGGAAACTTGCTGAAAGTTAATGTGGTCAACGCTTAAAAAGGAGAGATTTTTTCCGCTTGACTCTTGCTTGTTAAACTCTTTGAGCCCAACATGTTGTTCCCTGCTGCTTGAAAAAACAAGGGAAGTCCCAATTTTAGCAATGCTAGTTTGAGTCTTTCCAGCTGAGCCATATTTCAGGGGCAACTGTGGCTTATTACTGTTTTTTTTCAGTGGTGTGCCCTTACACCTTCAAACCAAAGTGTTAAGTGGTGCTCAGGCAGGAATAAGTAGGTGCTGCTTTCCCTGGAAGGCTGGGGACGATAAACTGCAAAGGGAGGTGCCATTTGCTTGTGCTTGCAGCAGTGGCAAGACATCCTGACTTGGAGGCCGTGTTTTATGTTGGATGCTGAGCCTCTGTAGAGTACGAACAGCCCTTGTTGAAGTAGGTGATACTGTAAATCCCATTCCAGACCAACAGCAGACTGCTGCTGACCCCAGCTCTTGATGCTGGACTGCCCTCCTCACGCTTTCCTAACCCCCATCCTAGATCTTTCCTCTCAGTAAGTCTCTTACAGCCACTTTTGTCTTCCCTGACACACAAAGAACATTTGTTCTTCTCCATCCTCTTCTATCCAGCTTTGCTTTCTGCAACTTAGATGCACAGAAGCTGGAGTCATGTCTAGCTGGGAAGAATGTCACTGTTGTCCTCCTTGAATTTAGTCTTACTTAATCCCTTCCTAGCCAGGATTATGGGGAGAAAAGGGAAGAGCTGGGATTATTTTTTAAGATAGATATTCGTACTCCACAGTCATGTACCGTAATGAAGTTGAGCCTTTTCATTTGCAGAACTGAGTTCAGCTTGATCAAATCCAACCTGCTTTTATTCTAGATGAGAGACAGCATCTATACTGCAGGTTAAGTAACCTCCAGCAGTTTCCTGAGCAGACAGGAGCAGCCGAAGTCTCTGGCATGCACAACACAAACCTCGAACAGAAGTACTGCATCGCCCAGCAGCCCTGGGAGATGACACGTTGCTGAGCTCTTACTTTCATTGCTTGGTAGGACGTGTTTGCACACAGCAGGGTTACCAGGACAGTAGTTTGTAGATTGACAGTGGAGATTGAGAGTAGATGTACAGTAGGGGCTGGTTTTGCAAGCTGTGGGAGCAGTGTAGTGCAAAGTGGGAGCCCTGTTTCAGATGCTCACTGGTTTGTGTTGTAAACTGCCAGGACTTGAAGGCTCTGATCGCGGAGTTCAGTGGGAGGAGAAGGGGGATGCTGCTTTGAAGTGCATCGGAGTAGAAAAAGGATTTTCTTTTTTTCCTCTTATTTTCTCCCCACCCCCCCAATTTTTTAAGGGAGATAATAAAAGGACAGAATTTGTACTAGAAACAGGAATTTGTGCTTCTGTAACAGGAAGCTGCTGGTATGTATTTTTGGGAAGCCACGGAAATTGCCGGTGTTTGCAGTCCAATTTGAAGGCTGGTTCAGCCTTGGGAGCGAAGAGATCTGCTAAAACAGAAACCCCTTTTTCTCTCATGTATCTGGGGAGATTTCCTGCACTGTGTGTGTGGGGTGGTTTGCTCAGGAGAGCTGAGCAATGGGATCTCATGGGCTGGCTGTGGCAGAGGTGATGGTGAAGAGCATGGGGTTGGGCTCTGCTGATGGAAAGGTCACCTGTTTTTTTCCAGGGCTCATTTGCTCTGTTCCTGTAGGTGCATGTTTTTGTAACTAGATACGGATTGCAAAGGTTTTGGAAGGTCTCCACAAAGCCATTGGAAAAGGCTGGTACACTGATAGGAGAGTTAACCTGGGCTATCCCAGGAATTTAGGGCTAATACACGGTATCTCCATGTGGCCCTCAGAGCAAACTCTACACACAGCTTAATTGCTGGAAGAGTTGCATCAGTTTGGAAAGCAAAAGTAGTGGAGATCTGCACAGCTTCCTGCTCTTGTTATAATCATGTGGAATTTTACATTGCTTTCTTGGTGTTTTTCTGCTCTCTATCCATTCAGTGTTGCAGAGACTGACTGGTTCCTTTTCAAGATAGGATTTTTAACTTTTCCAAGCCCATTGGTTACTTCCTTGCCTCCTCTTTTGTCTTGAAAATGGACAGATCAGAGTCCTGGGCAGCTGTGGGCTCTTAGGCTAAACGGTGCTGTCCCGAGAGGAAGCTGCAGGAGCAAAAGGAACAACGCACTTTGGGGCACATGTACGTCTCCGCCTCTGCTGCGTTCTTATCGCTTTCCCTTCCTGCTCGTCTCTCTCAAAATAGGCGGGATAAATATCCTCCTGCTTGCCAGCACCAAGGCGTTGGAGCTGCAGAAAATCATTTTAATCCATGCTTGAGATTATTCCTGGTTCAGTTTGGATTTGTTACTGTGTTTAAATTGATTTGACTGAGCTGTGAGATTTCCAAAGTGCCTTTTCCTACTGCTTCTACCAAATGCATGGTAACACCCTAGAATTAATGTTGGTGTCCTGGCACACACAAGCTCTCCTTGATTTTGGGGCAGTGTTGCTTGCAGTGACTGCAGGACAGGAATGTCTTGCTCCCTCCGTGCATGTCTGATGAAGTACTTTAGATGTCTCCCCCATAACACAGGTTTACGACCAAGAAATCTGTGTGCTTATCAGTCAGCTGAAGTGGACTGGTCTTTGTTGATGACTTCTATTACACTGCTCTTTAAAAGGTGCCCATCTTTATGTGAGTTATGCCTTTGTCCAGTCTAAAATGAAGTTTTTCACAAGTGAGCGGGACTGGCTCCAGCAGGCTCAGGTTTACACCCTAAGTTTCTTGGTGAGAATAAACAAAACCAAAACAAATCCCTGCTGGGCACAGGCTGCTAAATGCAGGATGCCAGGTAACTGAGCCCACTATTGTGTTGGTTTTGGGCAGGTTAATGGATAGCCATGAGTAGCACTTGGCAACAGGCAGAAACTCCGAGGGCTGTTGGGGACATGCCTGCCGTGAGGGTTGTATGGGACATACACTGCTGCTTAGAGATGCCTACACTAGGGGTTTTTTTTTCCCCATACGGTCTAAGGAAAGCTGGTCCAGCCTTGAGGAACCTTGATTGGAATTTGGAAGGCCTAAATTTAGGTTTCAGCTTTGATACAGGCTGCCTCTGGGACTGAACTTCCATGTCCTGCTGTCTGTCTGTTCCCCACGTTATCCCATAGGGATGCTGCAAAATGTAATGCATTAAAGAGGTGGCATTGCTTTAAGGTTAGTACATTTAAGTACATTAAATACTGTAAAAATACATTAAAAGTATAATGTATTAAAGATGGTCTGCTCTTAACAAAAGGAGACCTATGGCACGAGTGTAAGTTGTTTACTCCAAGATTTTAAAACCACAAAGGTACTGGGTTCATAGTGCGTTATCTTTGGGGTGTGTAGAGAAGGGCAGACTCGTGGCCTCTGTTCCTAACTAAAAAGCTGTCCTCTTTCTTCCAGCCCAGGTGATGGTGGAGAAATGCTTTGTGAAAAGTGATCCTGTTCTGTCTTTGTCTCCATGTCAAAATTAATCTCTAACCTTTGTGTATGTTTGTTATTACAGGGTAGATGCTTGAGAGTGGAGGATAAGGTACAAGTCTCTGGGACCAGTGGAATGGAGGCCTGATGTAGATGGAAAGATGGGTAAGAACTGGATTCCTGTGAAGCAACTGATTTTCCCTGCAGCCTGCTAATTTTTGTTGGGTCTACCAAGCATAACAACAGATTGAGAAACATTGCCAAGATGGTCTGGCTGGGTATTACATTGTATTCTATTTTTCTTTTTTTTTTTTTTTTTTGCCTTTTAGTAGTGCCAAAATTGGACAAATTCTTTTCTTATTGTCAAGGTGGTTTGGTGGGTCACGTTCTAGGTGGAGCCTCTTCCCAAGTCTGCCTTGTATTTCTGGGTAGAGCATCTTCATTCCCTGTATCTCTTCTCCCAAGGAAGCTTCTGTTTCAAACAAAGCCTGAGTGTGTTGCTTGTCTAATGGGTGATGTGGATGACTTGCACATTGTCCCTCTTGCAGTGGAATAGTTGTGTATCAGGTGCTCTGTGGCAGTGAGGGAGACTTTCAAAAGAAAGTGGAAATTACTTACGGTTCTGGAGGTACATAATGACCTTGATCTTATCTCTACTACTAAAAAAAAGTCCTAGATTTGGAGCACTTCCAAGTGCTGAACTCCCTTGTTTTTAGCATGTGAATAATCAGACTGGTGGTGTTCTCATATGAGCAGGTGGTAAGTGTGAAAGTCTCAGCCCACCTTCAGCTTCTCATGCCACTGGCCATCAAACTCACCACGTTACTTCTGCAGAATCATACCTTACTTGCCCGAAAATGTCCATGCTGTGCTGCTGTGCTACTGTGCTTGTAACCTGTCACATAGGTGGGTACAGCAGGAGCGTCTTCCTGGTGTCTTCCCATCCCCACTAAAGGACTTTCCAGGAGACACATGCCTTACTGACAGCAGCACTGCTGGGTTTGGGATTCAGCCAGTGTTTCATGCATTCATGAGCATGGCAGAGTGTGCGAAAGCTCTTTACAGAATGAACACTGACCACAAAACCAATTCCAAAGTGGTCTCAAGCCATTTTGCGAGCTAGTAGCAGTTCCAGCAACTGTAGGCTTTTCTGCTCCTTTAATTTTGCTGAAAAGAGAAAGCTCTGCAGATTGAAGAACAAGGTCAGGTTCTACCTCACATGGATGTCAGCGCTTGATGAACATGTGGAGCTAGTTGAGCTTGGATTGTCCTGTTTCCTTCACCAGAAGAAGCAGGTTTCAGAGGAGCCTAAATTTATCTTCTGAAATGGCTTCCTGACCTGGTGGCCCGAGAAAGGAGAAGAGCTCTTGGAGGAGTGCTGGTTGAAGCTGAGCATTTCACTTAAAAGTTGGCAGCATTGTCAATGCAGTATTATATTTATTTTTAAGAAGGAAAGTTCAGACTTGCTTTGAGCAGGGAATAAGTTGCTGGCTCCAGTCCAGCTCTCATCAGAGAGTCAATTTGTTGACACCTTTTACAAAAAGGTACAAATTGCACAAGGTACCTTCAAACTGTCAACTGTAAACATAATATGGATGCACTGGGGAAGCAGTAATCTGTGGGAGTACTGTAGTGAAGAGAGCACCTTTTTTCAAGGCTCTGTAACTGTGTTTTGGGAAGGTAGGCTGCATTAGTAGGAGTCGTGCAGATCTGCAGTCCTGCTTATACTTGTGTGTGAGCGGAGGGTGCTGTGCATGTCCCCTTCCCCAATTGTCCTTGCTCAGAGCATTGCTGTAGCTTGTCACTGACAACATCAATGCCTGTGTAGGGACCAGTTAGCTCTGCCAGGCTGCATTCAGAAAGGATCATGGTGTGGTCCTGAGTCTGGTCTCTGGATTGACTGTTGGGGCGAGATGAAGTGATGTGTATGTTGATCAGTGTTACCAAGTGGTCTTTGTTAAAGGATTTTCGCAACAACTTTGCTGGCATACAGAAAATTAGTCTAAATCTTGAGGGTTTTTTTTAAACACCCCACCACCACCCCTCCCCTTACGTGTGTGTTTGTTTCCTCTACGTATTGGGATAAGGGAGCGTTTTCAAGGAAAGAGCCGGCAATTTGCAGTTGTGTCATAGACTCAGTTCTGGTAGACCACAAAGGAGGTGTGTTAGATGAAGTGATCTCCATTCCAGGTCTGTCTTTCTTCCTGGGATTCTATTTATAGTTTGTGCAGTGTCTCAGAGTTCAGCATAGGTCTGTTTATTCCTGGACATGCTCTAGGGAAGCTGCAAGACCTTGTAGAGACTGCAGGAAGGGAAGTGGGGACTTCTGCTATCTCTGTGGGCTGCACCTCTGGTTTTGTAGTTTGGTTGTGTCATGCAGTGCAGTGGTGCTTGGACTAGCCCTCTGCAGCTCCTGGCATCCTGGTGCTGCAGATAGGCTGCTCTGCTGCTGCAGGTCCAAGACAACATCTGTACATGTGCCAACTTGTGGCCAGCCTGAGCAGAGGTCCTTGGCACTGGGTCATCTTATCTGGTGTGGACATGGCCATGACCGTGTCACTTAACCCTTATTAATTGTCCTGGTGCTGTTTGTGAAGGACTTGGACATACCTCTGCAGGATATATCAGAGGGCTTAATTTTGGAGGGAGGAGCAACTGGATATAGCATAGGATCTAGGGACAGAATTGTTCTGTTTTGCTTCATGCTTTGCTCTCCAATAAATCACTTGGGTTCCCATTTAGTGTTGTTCTAAAATGGGATGTCTCCACCTCTCTAACCTGTTCAGCGTATGTACATATAACTCAAAGGTTTAGGTCTTTAGTACTTTTTGGGGGCAAGTGTGACTTTTGTTTTAGCAGAAAGGTGATCTGAGGTGCGGGAGATGGGAGAATGATGCTTACTTCCAGTATTGTCTTGACAGAGTGTGCGTGTGTTTGGAGAAGATGACCACAGGCTGGGCTGGCAGAAGGCACAGCGGCTTGCTGAAGGAGGATGGGGTCTGTTTGCATGGCCATTTGCAATGGCTAAATGGCCATTTAACCCTTTCTGTGTTTTCTGGGGGGCTGTTGAAAAGAACTGCCCTGGTTGGTGGGGGAGAACAGGCCAAGTTTCCCTGTCTCCATTCTTATAGGCATTAATGTCTCAGCTCTCCCATGCCTTGTTTTCATAAATCCTCAATCTACAGCAGTGATTTTGCTCTTCACTTGCTCTTTGCTCTTAACTTACTTTGCTTGCTGAGAGCTATTAAAAAAATAATAATTCAGGTTGAATTGCAGCAGTTTATCTTATAATAAGGCACACCAGGCTTTCTAGTTCAGGATTTGTTATTTTTGAGGGGTGTCTGAGTTCAGAGGTCTCCATGTCTCCTCCCTTTCCTGTTACCATGCCTATTGCACCCAGGGCTCCTGTTTAGGGTCATGCCAGGTGCTTTGTGCACCTAAGGAATGTGGAACTAGACCTGCATTTCTGGATTTGGGATGTTGCATCTGTTGCTGCAGCAACGGATTAGGAGTTCATGGGCTCTGGCTGTGGCTTTGAGCACTGGAAGTAGCTGGGCTGGGAGGGAGAAAGAGGTCTTTATGAGCCCACAAATAACCTTCAGAGGTATCATCGGCAATCAGGGGAAATAAGTTGCCAGCTGTGTTTCTTGCTGGGTAAACAATTTTCTCCTTTCAAGTATGCTCCAGAGAGAGGTATGGGTTGTGCGAAGAGGTAACATCTTTCATTAGCCCGAACTGATAGAGGTGGAAAATAACAGACTGCCTTTTAGTTGCATAAGCCCTTTTTCAGAAGGAGCAAATTTTAAATTTAGCAGGAAAACAAGCTGGAAAAAATTGCCCCAGGCTTAATTATGTTAATCCCTTAAAGGAAAGGGTAGCTAGTGTCTGTGGACTAAAGGCCAGAGTTGGCAAAAAAGCTGTGAAAGTTTGTTGTGGGATGAGAGAAACCAGTACCTGGTACCTTCAAAGCAGTGAAGAGTTTTGCAAGCAGATACTGTGGGGGTAAAAAAGCATCATGCCATAAAACCAGAAAGCATTTTTATTTTATTTAATTTTATTTTACTTTTTAAATTTTTTTCTATTTTTTTTTTTTTTATTTCTTAGCAGAGCTACAAGCATACAAAACTTTCTCAAATGTGGGCTAATTTTTTCACAGCTCTCCCAGACTAACGTTAATCTGCAAAAGCAATTAAGAAATAACAGGTTTGAACAAGAGCAGTGTTAGGTTCATGGTTAGGCTCAGTGGGTCTTTTCCAACCTAAACGCTTCTATGATCCCAAGAGGCAGAGATGTAGCATGGCTTATCTTGCAGCATTCTGTGTTTTTATAGGGAAGCCCTGACTCTAGCTGCTGTATTCCTGTCTCTGCCTCCTGTCTTCCTCAGGGCGGAAATTGGGAGCCACCCAGTGTTGGAACCTGTTCAGGGCTGGGAAGCCTTTGGCAGCTGGAATGGTCAAGGCTGGGTTAAGTTTCTCTTTGGTGCTCTGTAGGGTAAATGCTTGCTCTTTGGCTAACAGACTTGCTTATTTAAGCTTTGCTCTGCTTTAGGTATCTTCATAAGCTTAAGTAGCAGGGTGCCAAGGTGCGTGCTCATTGTTCCCTGTACACCTCGAATGGGTTTGCAAACACCTCCACAGCCAAGTTTAGAGGTGCTTAGAGGCAAAGAGGCTAACCCAGTTACACCTTTATTAGCCAATAAAACACGTTGTGGCCCATGCTTTGGCACTGCATGCATGGGTATGGCCACGTTGCTCCCCCACAATGGCATGGCCTTATCTGCTTCCCTTATGGGGAGCAGCCTGGGGTAGAGGGGCTGACTTGGGGGGCCCTTGAGGTGGCATGGAGGAGGCAGGCAGCAAGCTGGCAATTAGCTATGGGAAGTCACAGGACAGGGCTTGGTGCTGGCCTTGCTTAGTTGACTAAGTGTAAAAATAGTCTAAGGAGCATATAGCTCATCAGAACTCCTCTTGTGAGTCCCAGCCCTGCGTGGTGTGCTCAGTACTGGAGACTGATTCAGGGCTAAGCAGCATGCTGCCACTCTTTTGGCAGCAAAATGGCACCTGCTGGGGGGACAGAGCAGCATTTGAGAGTGCCTTCGTGGAGAGACGGTGGGTGTGACTGGCACAACAGGGTCCTGTCCTGTCCAGCATCGTCTGGGGATGTGG